CCGTCTTACCGATGCCAAAATCTGGTCACCCTATTCTTGTCATAACCTCATGTGCTGTTGTACCAAACTAACCTACCTCATCCTTCACCCTGATCCTTCACCCTGCCAAGTTAGCCCCCCATCTATGCCACTAAGTAAAAATGCAAATTGCAGAACAGCATAGAGGGCGTGATACCATTAACTAATGCGGACATACCCATATACTTGATTTCTCCATGGGCATGTATGTAAAAGTAGAGAAGAAGCTCTAGAAAGAGGCACATGGCCGATGACAGCAGCTGCCTCGGAGGGAGACTATGGAGGGCCTGGCACTAGCAAAGAGTACTTGAGGGGCGTTTTCACCTTACTGACCAGCTGAACTTTTTACAGTGAAAAACATATTCCATGAATATTTTTAAACTTAAAATTCACTTAAGGGAAAAAAGTTCATGGTAGTTGAAATGGAAAAAACACAGTTACTGCTTTTAGTATTTAGGAATAAAAGGATAAGTTCCTAAAAGGGAAAACGGATAGAAAATGTGGAGACTATGGGAAATCTATAAATGGGCAATGCCCTGAAGCCAATTCCTTAGAAATCAAACAGTGCTTCCCCCCACACACATACGGGTCCTCTGTGCCTGGGCTTTCACCACAGCAGCTGCCTTCCAGGATTTTCTAACAGTGCTAGAAAATCAATCCTTACAAACATGCAGTTATAGAAAAAATGACATAAAATTGCATGTTTTAAGGTAAATCTAAAGTACTTCTTTACCTCCCACTTAGAAGTTTTAGACAGATTGATTTTTGTACTGTTTCTACAGCATCTAAAGTAGCAATTCTCAAGGAGGAGGGGGCTCAACCCCACATCACACCTGCCCATAGATCTGCAGAGAAGGACCAGGTGAGGAGCCCCGGCTGCCCGTGGGATGAGCAGCAATCACACCAAGACCGTTTCCCTCAAAATCCAGCTGTAGCATTATATATTAAGTGTACAAAAAAATGTTGCTGTAAAATAGCCACACATGTAGAGGGCTTTATCAGAGTAAAGCCCCCCCCTAAAAAAACCCCAAAAAACGATACCACTTTTGTGGTCAATTTGGTGTCCTCTTTTATATACAGTAATAGTCTTTTTTTTTTTTTTGGAGACAGAGTGTATGTTGCCCTCAGTAGAGTGCCATGGCATCAAAGCTCACAGCAACCTCAAACTCTTGGGCTTAAGCAATTCTCTTGCCTCAGCATCCCAAGTAGCTGGGACTATAGGTATCTGCCACAATATCTGGCTATTTTTTGTTGCAGTTGTCATTGTTTAGCAGTCCCAGGCCGGGTTTGAACCAGCTACCCTTGGTGTATGTGGCTGGTGCTATAACCACTGTGCTACGGACTGTGAGCCATATACAGTGCTCTTGAAGGGCATGGCACCAGAATGCTAGGTTCAAATCCCAGCTTCACTTCCTGCTTATGTGACTTTGGGCAAGTTACTAAACCTCTGACCCTCAGGCTCCCCATTTGTAAATGGAGGTAGTCATGGGGCCCTCCCTTGTAGACTTAGCGCTAGTATAATAGTAAGTAAGCTAGACACAGCCTGGCAGGCAGGAAATCCTTTAAAATAAGTTTAACTAGTATTATGATTTGAACTGTGTAAATATCCAGCTTTAAGAAATCAAGTGGTTACCCAAGATACCCTAATTTGATGAGTATACTGCGCTTTGGACAGGACACACTCCATGAGATAGGCCCTCCCTCCAGTCTTCTCTGGAAGTTCCTTTCTAAGCCCAGACAGGGTGTACCACCAAGGTGTGGCCTGGACTTGGCGGATGGCCATGTGACCTGAGGGCAGAGCTGCTTTCCTGAGACTAAGGCTGTCTTGGACACACTGTTAGCTTGATGCCCCTTCACTAAATCCAATTTGGAAAAAATCAGGGCCTGTTCAGTATGGATCACAGTCCTTCCCCTTTAGGATTTGGTCTTCAGAAAATTTCAGTATTTTATCAACACATAGTTGAGAGCCACCTCTCTGAGCTTGCTTATAAAGTACTAACAGAGATGAGATTTAGAAATACTACTTGGTGGTCCTCTCTGGCATGAAACAGTTTGAACCAAAATAAATAACGAGCTCTGTGTCTTGTACACACTATAAACTCCAACTTAAAAAAAAAAAAAAAGCAGACTTTCATTTTTCATTTAACAGTTGTTTATTCACTGGTACTGGCATCTAAAATAACTTTTGGAACAATTTTGTTAAAAGTGTTGAAATAGGCTGGGCGTGGTGGCTCAGCCCTGTAATCCTAGCACTCTGGGAGGCTGAGGCAGGAGGATCACCTGAGCTCAGGAGTTAGAGATCAGCCTGAGCAAGAGGAAGATCCCATCTCTCCCCAAAACAGAAAAATTAGCCAGGCATCCTGTGGGTGCCTGTAGTCCCAGGTAGATGGGAGGCTGAGGCAAGAGGATTGCTTGAGCCCAAGAGTTTGAGGTTGCAGTGAGTTGTGATGAGGCCACTGCACTGTAGCCTGGTGACAAAGAGAGAGATTCTGTCTTTAAAAAACAACAACAACAAAAAGAATGGTGAAAGGGTGACTGCCTTTTTCAGCCTATGTCTTGTGTATCTGGGGAAGCCTGATGAAACAGCCTGAAGCACCTCCCTGTCTTCATCATGTTTCTGGGCTGCAGGAGGAGTAAGAAAGAATTGTCCATATGCATTTGGCCAGTGCACACTAACCCAGCTCCTTTGGGTCTGTGTTGCAGGGATCATGTACCGCAAGTCTTGTGCGTCGTCAGCGGCCTGTCTCATCGCCTCCGCCGGGTACCAGTCCTTCTGCTCCCCAGGGAAACTGAACTCAGTGTGCATCAGCTGCTGTAACACCCCTCTTTGCAACGGGCCAAGGCCCAAGAAAAGGGGCAGCTCTGCCTCGGTCCTCAGGCCGGGGCTCTCCACCACCGTTCTGCTCCTCAAATTAGCGCTCTTCTTGGCACACTGCTGAAGCTGATGGAGATGCCACCCCCTCCTGCGTTGTTCTTCTGGCCCCCGCTCCCCACCTCCCCGAGTTTCTTCTGGTGTCCTTTTATTCAGGGTAGGAAGGGGAGTATGTGTGTTCTTTTTGTTCCTTTGCAAATAATGAAAGAGCTCCTTGTGAAAGCATTTTTGTAAGCTGAATAAATTCAGTCCGATTTTTCAGTGTGGACACTTGAAGGGGGGGGAGCAAAAGTGTGCTCCCGTGTCCCTGTAATCAGAGTCAAGGCCAGGCAGGTCGAAGCAGCCCTTAGGTAGACATCGCGAAGGGAAGGAGGGCATCTGCATTTTCCCAGAGCCTCTCGCTGCCGCTCTGTCCCTGGCGGGCACAGTTTCTCTTGTGACCGCGGTGTGAGGGTAATGTCGCTTTAGCGTGGGTACGGCCCGTCCCACTCAAAGCTTCATTCCTCAACATTCAAACTTCTTGCTCCTTAAAACCGTTCTCTGCGGCAGAATTGGCGGGTTTCGTCGCGGAGTTGGGCTCCACCGACTGGAGACTCGATTGCTGGGGCTTGGACTCCGCTTTGGCCTCGCTCTGAAAAGTGCTGAGGAAAACCTTGTCGGCCTTCCTGGCCGAGGAGCCGCGCCGGGAGGAGCCGAAGATCAGGGGGCGGCGGGCGGAGCGCGCGCTGGGCGCGCCGGGGGCGGAGAGCGCGCGCATGCGCTTCTCGTGGTTGGCGTGGGGCAGCGCCAGGCGGCAGCGCAGCACCTGCGCGAACACCCTGCGGAACTGCTGCGACGACACGTTGTACAGCAGCGGGTTGATGACCGAGCTGAGGTAGAAGAACGTGTCCGAGAAGGGCAGGAGGATCATGTACGCCCGGAAGTAGGATCGCGTCCAGTCGTGCTTGGGTTTGGCCGCGGCCATGATCCTCCGAATCTGGTTGGGCATCCAGCAGACGGCCAGGGTCACCACGATCAGCCCTGAGCGGGCGAGAGGGAGAAACAAAACAAAACAACGCAGCATGAGAACTAAATAAATAAATACAAACCATAAAATATTTAGCCCCTCCGTTCTGTGCTTACTGGCCAGGAAATGGTACCAATTTTTCAGTGTTGTGCTCGACAGCTGCTTTTGCCACTAGCAAAAGAATTTAACACTGTTTCAAACCCAGGGGAGTTGGCTGTGTTAAAAACCATTAAATGCTTAGTGTGTTTACACCTGTTTATGCCTGTTAATTTATTTATTAAAAAAGTTTTCATTGATGCTTATGTATCCAGAAAGCATTTTTATGTTGCCAATAAATCTGGTTTTGTCTTTTTTTTTTTTAAGGTGAAAGATTTATACGATCTGAAGAGAAACCAGAGTATGTCGTTTTGTTTTTTTAAAAAATAGAATGTATACGTACAGTATAGCTGTATTAGATAACGTCTGCACAAAGACGATCCAGTGATATTCTTAGGTCAAATGGAAGTAGTAGTGTCCCATCGGTAACAAACAAGCATATTTAATGATGCTGATTTTGTATTTGACTTAAGGGGACGTGATATCAGGAATAGCCTGTTACTGACGATGGCTTTTTGGGGACATAGGTGTGCACATCGGGAATCACAATGCTCATGTCTGCAACAGCACCTGTTTCTTTTCAGACGCTTTTAGATAACGCCATCTCTTTCATCGTCATGTGGGAAAAAATTATCCCAAAACAATGGCAAATGTAAATCTTCAAATTCAGCCTGGAACATGCTCAACTCTCTTCGTAGCACTGAGCTGCAGTGTCAGCAGTCCTTGGAAAAGAGACCTTTCAGTGTCCCTGTGTGTATCCACTGTTGACTGCATGTTCGAGTGTTTGCATGCCCACTATTTGCATTCCAACTTACATAATCATCAGTATTTCTACAGTTCTGGCAGAGAAAAAGATGCTACATAGCTACAAACAACTGATAACACAGGCATCATCAGAGTTTATCTACAGTGACTAGAAACAAAAAAGAAGAAAAAAGGATGATCAGGGAATCTCCAGAGCATTTGCTTTCTCTTTTCCTAACAAGCCAAGACACCAGGATGTAAGTTCCTGTGTAGAGAGCTGATACTTTAAAGTGGTATTCACATTCTCAGAAAGGCTTCCTCCTGTTCTTCAATTTGAATCATAATATAAAAAGGAAAATGGATTCACATTTTCAAACCTTCTGATTTTCCAGGAAAGTATGGGGAAGCAATGGTTGCCAATGATTGCTTTCAGCCTATGATCAATGGTAAATATTTTATTAGTAAATGTTCCAGGAAAAACAGCCATGTTCACACATTCTAAGCTGGGCTTCCTGCACACAATGGCCTGAGTATCCCTAGGCGGAGGGTCCTTAGGTGTGTTTTCTGTACCTTAAATAACTCAGCTACCCCCAGAAACAACAATACTCTACAATCCTCATATGTCAGCAAGGAGGGCCTTGAAAACTCTTCTCCCTTGATTTTTGAGGGTTTTTCCTGTTAAACCTCAGCCCAAGCCTTGAAATGAAAACCAATTTGCTTAATTCTTTCCTTTGAATTTGCTATCCTGAGAATACTCGGTAAATCTCCAAAAAAAAAAAAACAGGCAGAGTAACCTATCTAATGAAAAGACAAAAAATACCAACTTAAGTCAAGAGTGTATTCCGAATTACCTAATTACAGTTGCTGGATAGGAACAAAAACATCAACATTTTTCTGATGTTTAAAAGAATACTTGGATAGGGTCTTTTTTCCCCCTGACTGAGAGGTCTGTCTCATTAACTGCGAAGGAGCTAGGCACATACCATACCACAAGAAGCTAAGCATCTTCACAAAGTATTACACACCCCCCCCACACTTCCTCTCACTGCATTTCAGAGAACAAGTACAACCATCTTCATCTGAGGACTCACTTCCCATAGTATGAAAATTGCATGCACATTTTTAGATGTCGGAGCTGTACTTCAGGTGGCGAGGATCTAGAAAAGGGATGAGAAGCACCAGGAGCTGAACATCGCACAGCTTTAAAGGCAACAGGTAGAGGCAACTAGAGGAGAAGGTGGGTGGTGGGGCAAGGGGAGAGAAGTAACAAAATTGCTTTCTTCTGTCCTTTCTTTGCTCTTTGTTCTTTTGATCTGTTTACATGACCCTTATTTTTCTGTTAGCTTTCCATGAGCACTTGCCTTGTGTCAATTGTGTGATTGATCATCCCATCAAAAGAAGCAGGGTTCAGTAAAAAGCAAGACCCAGCATCCAGGTAGGCGGCAAGGCACAAGGGCAGATAGAGAGCTGGGGCGTGGTTTGTAGTTTTAGCCAGGATGAAATTCTTGCCCTGAGATCGAAATGAACTAAAGTGACTAAATAGGAGGAAGCTAGATATAAACCAGCAATAGCAAACCAGCAGTCAGCCTACAGATTCTCAAGGATAAGGAAAAGAGGGGAAAGTTCGTCTCTTGGGTATAGAAGTAGGTAGACAGGATAGCAAGTACAAACTTGAAGAGCAGGAGAGGCAATGACCTGAATTAAAAATGGACCTAGATTAAAAAATTATGCATCTGACAGGTCTCGAGACATAACCTAGAATAACGTGGAATATTTACTGAACCTTCCATATGCCAGTTTCTATGCGAAGCACTCTGCTAATTTCTCATTCCTGACAACAACCCAGAGAGCTTTGATCTGGTGAGGTCAAAGCAGTTATTATCTTTACTTAACAAATGAAGAAGTTAGTTTCCCAAATGCTATAGCCAGGGCAAGTGCTTGTCAGACTCCAAAATCCATGATATACATGTACATTGTTTTCCTTAAGACACAATATAGTCTGTTTCTCATATTTTCAGTTTGGAAAACATGGAAACACAAGCAAGAAAGTAAACATGAACCATAATTCTACCTGTAAAACATACAGAGCAGTGCTATCCACTGGAAGTATATAATGTAGATCATATATGTAATTTCAAATTTTGAATTGCCACATTCAAAAAGCAAAAATAGCAAAGTGAGGCTGGGTGTGGTGTCTCACGCCTGTGATCCTACTACTCTGGGAGGCTGAGGCAAGTGGATGGTCTGAGCTCAGGAGTTCAAGACCAGCTTGAGCAAGAGTGAGACCTCATCTCTAAAAATAGCCAGGTGTTGTGGCAGGAAACTTCAGTCTCAGCTACTCAGGAAGCTGAGACAAGAGAATCACTTAAGTCCAAGAGTTGGAGGTTGCTGTGATCTGTAATGCCGCAGCACTCTCCCAAGGGTGACAAAGTGAGGCTCTGTCTCAAAAAAAAAAAAAAAGTAGCCAAGTGAAATCGATCAATTTAATAATGTTATTTAATCCAATATACCCTAAATATTATTTTACATATAATTTCAATAAGTAATCACCCCCCAATTATTAATGAGATGTTTCCTTTATTCATACGATGTTTTCAAAACCCAATTGTGATTTTTCACAGTACATTTCTCTGGAAACAGGTACATGTAGCTAGTGCTCCAATACCAGACAGCACTGATTAAAGTAATCCCTCATACCCCCCACCCCAAGTAGCTAACTTCCTATTCCTTCCTCATCCCAGTCCCCCAACTATCTTATTTTCAGCAACAAACCCAGAGTCATGTCAAACCAAGAAGCCCCAAGGTTATCTCCCATGTAGCCGTGTTCATTATATTATAGTGCAACCAGTGCTGACTCCCGGTCAGATTTCTGAGCATGCATTCTTGCTATAGTGTAGAACAGTTTTATCCCATCTTGTCTCATCTTGTTCCCTCCCATATCAGGGAAGCCCAGATTACTCAAAACTTAAATAATTCTGAAGCACAAGAATGTATCTGTATTTTACATTTCTCATTCTAAATTTTACCTCGCCATTCTGGAACAGTACATGTTATGCCAGCTACCTGGCAGGGATGTTGGATTATATGTTCCCCATCTCAGCTAGAGGTGAGGAAAATGGCTAGTGCTTTTCTCCTTGTGTTTTGAAAGAATTTTTTGTTCTAGGGAAATGGAGCATTAGACATACAGGTGCAACCAGTGACAAATGCGAGGCGTGTGATTGTGAGCAGTATAGTAGAGGTCAGTCTCTTAGGGGAGAGAAACCAAACTTGCCCCCTGGTAAACGTCATTTTATGATGATGAGTCATGCTCATTTTCACATCTGAAAAAAGCACTTTTATTATTTTAGATAATACATTGTGGAGAATAAATACCCTGTCCAGAGGTAACTTTCTATTCTGGCTGTTTACAATCGGTTTGACTCTAGTTTCAGCTACTCTGTAGCTAAGACCAAGTTTTAAAGTCTTATTCATGCCTTAATAGAGTATATTAAAGATTTGACTAAATTTATGTTTGGCTGCAATCAATTTGGACTTGTATATTACATTTGGGGAAAAATCTATAATGCTTTGGTCTGTGTGGTGTAATACGCAGCCTGCAGTTAAATAACTTTAGTGTGAACTCGAATGAAGATCAGTGAACAGAACCCACTCATGTAAAGCCGGTAAACTGTTTTAACTGAATTATTGATAGATCTGTATTATACTGCAGACAGCCTTGCACTCTGGGTTATGAAATACTTTCCTATCTTATCTGTTTTTCCACATAAAGTACTTTCATTTTTCCTCCTTGATCACCACACTAAAATGACAAGAGCCATTAGATGATGACACAGATTCATTCTTGGCAAAGTAATGTTGTTTAAAAAACAAGTAATGCAGATGTCTAACACCACCCTGCACTGAAGCCTGACATTTCAACAGCATCTGAGTCAGGCTGCTTGGTTTAATCTTCAGAAGTGCATTAAGCTCTGCAGCCCGGGACATGGTGGCATTGATGTATCTGTCACTGCACTGTTTTCTTCCCTCTATCCTTTACAGTGAAAGTAACTATTTATGTGTTCCCCAGGATTCATCTTAGAGTCATCAGGGAGTGGGGGAGCAGGAAGACACCTCGATCCCTTTGTCTTATAAATGAGGAAACTGAGGCTAAGTATCTTGCCCCAAATCTCCCGGG